AAAGAGGAAAGGGGGAGGGGGAGAGAGAGAGAGAGAGAGAGAGAGAGAGAGAGAGCACTGGCGCATGCAGCTGTGGTAGGCAGATTTTTTAGGCACCATAGTGGCCTGAGGATCTTCTATCTCTCTCTCATGCAAGCATTCACCTTACACTTAGAGCCAGCAAGCCCTCCTCCTTTTGTGATATGGGATTGGGATCCCCACTGGATATGTTGATTTTGCTTTGAAAAATACCCCTTGATTCATTTTAGTTTTTATATATGTATGACCACCATTCTTCATTTTCTTTTTCTCTTCTTTGATTCCTCCACATTTTATACATGCTCTCTCTCTCTCTCTCTCTCTCTCTCTCTTTGATTCCTCCAAAGAGTATGTGGTGTATGGTGAAAGGTGGAAGGTGTTTGGTACTCTTCTGCAACTTGAATTGATGATGGCATGACCAACTCTCAGATATGTAGTTGGATTTATGATACAACCAAGACATTAATGGGAAGCTATGCCCTTTGCCTTAGGCCCCTTTCAATGCCAATTTGCCAACCAAAATAAATAAATAAATAAATAAGGTTTAAATCCAAGAAGGTTAATATTTTGAGTATCAAATCCAAAACTGATTGAGTAGTTTTTGTCTACAATTAGTTGTATATAACTAAACCATATTAATATCCGTAAATTTTTTTATTTTGTAGTAGCCAAAAGCTATGGCCTAGCCAGATCTTCTAAAAATAAATAAATAAAATACCATTAGTGAGTGGGGATAAAATAAAATAAATAAAATTGAGAAAGACCCTAAAAATTGTGCTGCTTCTTCTCTTTTGAAAAGCACCATTCCAATATGATTTTATTTGAATAAAATAAATTACATTTGTTTAATTCACTTTTAATTCCCCTTGTCTATTTTAAATAAATAAATAAAAATTCAACACAAATAAATTCAAAGTGACATAATTGAAAGAAAAAAAAAAACCCAAAAAAGAAGGACAAAACATAGCAATACAATACAGCGTTTGAAGACGTCATGAGCCCAAAATGTCCGAGCCCAACTCAGATTTTCTAACAAAAACCCGTTTGATTCCCGCGAAAACTTCTCAACTGCATGGTCTCCCTCCACAGGTAGACACGGACCCTGATCACCTGCCACGTGCCTGAATCACCATCCACGTGTCCATGAACAAAGCCACCTGGCTCTAACTTTTTTTTTTTTTGGATTGAAACGCATGAGCTATGTTGTTTATCTGATCCGCATATCATCACCTTTCTTCTATATAGATCCTCAACCTCCCCACTTCATTGCAATCCGTTCACTTTTCTTACAATGTTGAACAAATCTTCAAACCAACAACCATTTCCGTTTACCTTCTTCATCTTGCTTTTCATTGGTCTGTCTTTGCCTGCTGCAAAGGCAATATTGAGCAATGAGGAGCAATATGGCTCAGGTGCTTCTGCTGCTGCTGCCGGGTCTCTGGTGAAGAGAGATCAACGGAGGGCATTGGTTGTGACAGAGTATGGAGAGATCTCATCCATTGATATCAGTGATGGGCACAGAGGGCCCTACCATATTCAGTTCATCACCTTGGAACCCAACTCTCTCTTCCTTCCAGTGCTTCTCCATGCAGACATGGTCCTCTATGTTCATACAGGTGCTCTAATTATACTTTTTATTTGTTTATTATTGATTTGGGTTTTTTTGTAATCTTTGTTTTGGTGGGTTTAGGCAGTGGGAGGTTGAGTTGGGGTGATGAGGATGACATTAAAAGGGTGGCTATAAAGAGAGGTGATCTCTTTAGGCTTAGGCCAGGCTCTGTTTTCTTTGTACAGAGTGACTTGCAGGCTGAGCGCCAGAAGCTTAGAATCTATGCAATCTTTGCAACCAACACTGATGATGACTTATACGTAAGACCACCTATTTCTCTGCTTCTTTTTCTTTTCCTGATTCAATGGACATTTTCATTCACTTGTGTCCAAATTTTCTTTTTTCTGATACCAAAACCTGTGCAGGACCCAGCAATAGGAGCATACTCTAGTGTTAGGGACCTGGTCCGAGCCTTTGATCCGAAAGTGCTTCGATCAGCTTTTAAGGTATGAACAACTCTGGGCCAAAATCCACAACTTTGCTGTAAATTGTAATCATCCTGTTATCTGTCAGAAATAATTGTGAAGATTTTGGTTTTTGTTGGTTTTCTGACTACTAGACAATGTGGTTGATTAGGTCTCTGATGAAGTGATAGAATCAATAATAAATGGAACAGACCAATCAGGCATTGTACACGCAGTGCCAACAAAGAAGGAAACTTTCTGGGATTTGGAGGCTCGGTTCTTGAAAACCTTCCTGACAGGCAAAGATGGCAGTGCATTCAACAAGAACAAGAAGAAAACAAAGACCTATAATATTTTTGATGAGGACCCAGATTTCAAGAACTGCAATGGTTGGAGCTTAACTGTGAACAAGAAAAACTCCCAATTGTTGAAGGGATCAAACATTGGTCTTTTCATGGTGAATTTGACAAAGGTCTGGTTCTGTGGTATTTAGCTTGATCTTATGTTAATTAGAGTCTAATTAATTTGATGCCTAATTCTAAAACTCGCTCTGTTATTGAAGGGGTCAATGATGGGGCCTCATTGGAATCCAAGGGCAACCGAGATTGCAATAGTACTACATGGGCAAGGGATGGTTAGGGTGGTTTGTTCTAGCACTGCAGCAAAGAAATCAGAGTGCAAAAACATGAGGCTTAGGGTTCATGAAGGAGATGTATTTGCCGTGCCGAGGTTCCATCCAATGGCTCAGATGTCGTTTAACAATGACTCCCTTGTGTTCATGGGGTTCAGCACAACAACGAGGAGAAACTATCCACAGTTTTTGGCTGGAAAATACTCTGTTCTGCAGAGTTTGGACAAACAGGTCTTGGCGGCGTCGTTTAATGTTAGCAACACAACAGTTGATCAACTTTTGGCTGCACAGGCTGACTCAGTGATTATAGATTGTACTTCTTGTGCTGAAGAAGAGGAGAGAGTGATGTTGGAAGAAATTGAGAAGGAGAGGGAGGAACAGGAAGCTAAGAAGTGGGAGGAAGAGGAGGCTAGAAAGAGAGCAGAGGAGAAAGAACAGAGGAAGAGAGAAGAAGAAGAGGCAGCAAGGAAGAGAGAGGAAGAAGAGGCAGCAGCAAGAAAGAGAGAGGAAGAAGAAGCAGCAAGGAAGAGAGAGGAAGAAGAAGCAGCAAGGAAGAGAGAGGAAGAAGCAGCAGCAGCAAGACAGAGAGAAAAAGAACAAGAAGCAGAAAGACAGAGAGAAGAAGAACAAGCAGCAAAACAGAGAGAAGAAGAAGAAGCAAAAAAGAGGGAAGGGGAGGGGAGGCAAAGCGAAGAAGAAAGAAGACAAGAGGAAGAAACAGAGAGGGAGAGGCAGCAACAAAAGGAATGGGAAAGAAGAGAGCAGGAAGCACAGACGGAGCAAGAAGAGGCTAGGAGACAACAGGAAGAAAGGGAAGGCAAAGAAAGACCAGAAG